GGATTAACTTCTCGTTCCTAAACGATCGAGTCCTATTTTTCCGTCCTCTCTAAATTGCCGTTGCCTTAGCTTCGACAGCTCTTCTTGTTGGCAAAAAAACAATAAAATTCATCCTTAGGTGTAAATAAGTGAGCTTAGTGGTAGACAATGTGATCTAGGAGCTGAAAAATATGAAGTGAGTTACCCGAATTAAGGTGTTTGGGCTTTATAGCTCTAATCAATTGACATTTACAGCAGTCAAATCTAAAAGTGTAGTTAAATTCTGTTGATCGACTTGATTTATATGCTTAGCTAATCACCTCAGGATTTTGTTAATTTTGATTAATGAAGGAAGTGAAGATGGCCAAAAGATTTGGGGATTGAGGCTTAAGGCTACTCTTGATAGAACACGGAGGCTGACTGAAGAATATTCCGAAGCACTTCTTCAAATATTCCCTGAGAAAGTTCAGGTATAAATACATCTATTATTCATAAATACCACAAGAACTACTCAGTTAGATGGTAAGTTCATGAACAATGAATTCAACCAATATCCTTTGTGGTGTTGTGGGCAACCAGAAATTTCCAAGTAGCTGTAGTTTCTGTGGAATATCACCATTTTAAATCCAATCTTTGTCATAGACTTCTATAAAGGTTTATATGGTTCTTCTAATCGTTTTTTTTTAATATTTTAGTGCGATAGTTCGTAACATTCTACCGAATCTTCGATTGGCCTTCATTTCAGGTGCTTGGAAAAGCATTTGGGATCCCTGAGAACAGCGTGAGAACGTATGCTGAAGCTGAAATTCGTGCTAGGTATAATGATTTTGGTAATTTTATTTTATTCTTCTTTATTACTGTTTGTAGACCAAGAGTTGATGCTGAATCCTGTTGGGAAACTCTAGTGTAATTTTTCAGGTATCCAAGCTTTGCACTATTCTTTCGAAAGCAGTCAGAAGCGTACTTGGATCGCAGGGTTGGGATGTTCTCGTGCCCGGATCTGTCGTAGGAACATTTGTTCAGGTGCTCTTATATTTATTTGTTTTACAACAATTAAGCATTGAAGTAAAGAGGAAGTTCATAAAGAATTTAAGCGAGGCTCATCACGAACATTGCAATCTATCTCATCATATTAACACATTAAACCCCATAACTTACTTAAGCTGGAAATTGCATGTAACCATATGTAAACTTTAGAGAAAAATAACAGAATCTTTAGAGAGTCTTAGAGGCCACGCCAGGTTCCATGTTTCTTTTTGGGTGTCGCTAACGAACAATTTCTGTAATTATTCGCTAGGTCTGATATGAGCCCCTTTTTTTAGATAAGAGTAGAGTCTGTAACTGTAGTGTACGTTATCCTCACGTAAAAAACGCTCTTGATGATTAAGCCGCCTATGCTATGTTTCGCTCTAAAACAAAGATTGAACTGTGTATGCAAATTAGCGCCGTAAGCAACCGAAATATTATTCAAAGGTACATGGAGTATTTGTTAGAGCTTTACCATTGTGCATCTGTAATTGTGAGTGTGCCTTCAGGTTGAGAGGATCGTCCCAGGGTCTCTTCCAACATCCATAGAAGGACCTGTTATACTTGTGGTTAACAAAGCTGATGGTGATGAAGAGGTTTGAAGCTAAAATATACCCTATCACTCTCCCTATCTATGGTGCCGTTATTGTTCTTCATCTGTTGTTAATGTTGATGATTTGCAGGTAACAGCTGCTGGGAGTAACATAAAAGGAGTTGTGCTACTACAGGAATTACCTCATTTATCTCATCTTGGTGTCAGGGCTCGACAAGTAAGTGCAGTCTCTCTAAAATAGTGTCTTTCTTAAATGCTGTTGAGCGGGCAGTATTAACGAAACTGTGTGTGGGCTTCGTAGGAAAAAGTTGTATTTGTGACATGTGAAGACGACGAGAGAATTTCGTTTCTACGAACACTTCTCGGGAATTATGTGAGGTCGTACATGTCTATATTCTTTACTCTTCCTCCCCTACGTATCATTTTTGGTTCATGTTCTTATTCTTGGGAGTTGTGGGGTTTTGTTTAATGGGACGTGTAGGATGGACGCATCGGCATCTGCAGTTCATATATCTCTTTCATCAGATGGTAGCACTGATAATTTTCCTGTCAAAACTGCTCCAGACGAATATGTGCTTGATTTTCAAAAGTCCAGTGAGCAAGACCCCTTGTTACGTGCCTCGGGAGCTCCCTACTCGAAAAAGGTAGTCAAATCATCCCTCAATGACATCACATATGGACATATCTTCCTTAGTTAAAAGATCCCCAGAACTTGTTCCCTCTGGAGTGACGGTTGAATTTTGATATAGGGAATTTCCTCTGGAGTGGTTCCACTTGCTGATGCAGATGCTCAAATTGCAGGAGCAAAAGCTGCATCTTGTGGTCGTTTGGCTTCTTTGGCTGCTATGTCTGATGAAGGTACATTTTGGATCTAATCTTTTCCCTCAACAAAAATCTGCAAGTGATGGCCATTGAGGTTTATATTTGATTTTTAATTGGTTCCCGAATCCTTTAGAAGACTCGAAACGCGTTTTACAAGAATGTTCATACTCAAATTATGCTTTAAACATATCACACTGAAAGGATGCTCTTAATTCCAGCACACGTATCGACACGTAACCAACCATGAGGAATGAATTTTGTTGGCAGGTTTTACGAATCTACAGATTCCAGCTACGTTTCGAGTTCCTGCAGGTGCAGTGATTCCATTTGGTTCTATGGAATTGGCACTTGCTCAGAACAATTCCTTGGAAGCGTTCAAATCAATTTTGGAACAAATAGAAACAGCCAAAGTAGGAGTGGAACTAGATGAACTCTGCAAACAACTCCAGGAGTTGGTGTCCTCTCTGCAATTGACAAAAGACATAATTGATAATTTGGAGACAATATTTCCTAAAGATGCACGCTTAATCGTCCGTTCTAGTGCGAATGTCGAGGATTTGGCTGGGATGTCAGCTGCTGGACTTTACGATTCGATTCCAAATGTAAATTTGAGAAATCCAATTGCTTTTGGGAATGCTGTTTGCAAAGTATGGGCGTCGTTGTACACTCGTAGAGCAGTTCTAAGCAGACGAGCTGCTGGGGTACCTCAGAAGGATGCTTTAATGGCAGTACTGGTGCAAGAAATGCTTTCTCCTGACTTATCATTTGTCCTACACACTTTCAGCCCAACCGACCAAAATGACAAATCTGTTGAGGCTGAGATTGCCTGCGGACTCGGTGAAACTCTGGCTTCTGGCACTCGTGGCACGCCCTGGCGTCTCTCATCGGGGAAGTTTGATGGTCTAGTGCAAACATTGGCCTTTGCAAACTTCAGTGAAGAACTACGCGTTCTTGCTGCTGGCCCTGCTGATGGAGAAGTGGCACATTTGACTGTAGACTACAGCAAGAAACCACTGTCTGTTGACCCGAAATTTCGTGAGCAGTTGGGTCAACGTCTTTGTGCTGTCGGCTTCTTCTTGGAATGCAAATTCGGCTGCCCCCAGGATGTTGAAGGCTGCGTCGTAGGCGACGATATTTATATAGTCCAAGCACGCCCACAGCCATTGTAGAACATTCTGTCCTTACAATGCTCTACTGCTTGGAGGCAGAGAGATGAAACAATGAAGCTCAATCAGGCTGCTGATGCCACCATCTCCAGCAGATAACATCCACAAATAAAATGTCATCATCATCTGAAGTTTGTTTCTTAGTTAATAGCTCTGTAAGATGGCAGGTTCTATATCCAGCTGAATTGATGATCGTTCAATGCTCCAAACAGGGTTCCTTTGGCAGATTATTGGGTCTGCAGGGATGTTTGAAATCGTAGTATGATTCAATAAATTATATTGCTTAGACATTGTTCGAAATTATAGAGAGGATTTAAAACCATAAGCCTTAGACATAAGATCTTAACGAATCATTGATAGCACTTTACTTAAAAGTTGAGTTATGGTCAAAGATGCTAAATTGTGAAATTGCTATCTCAAATAGAATCGACGAAAGTTGGTATTACGATGAGTAAATAACACTTAACTTCGTTTGTTAATCGAACATTGATCAGAACATCGATCAGAATGAAACAATGGCAGACCGATTAGTAGAGATGATTAAAGGGAGGTTGATACCCAAACTTGAAATGTTTCCAAAACACAATTGAGATTAGGAAAGAAGCAAAAAGATGGAAGAAGAGAATGGAATGGACTTAGGTTTAGAGTAAGAGTTAAGCAAAAACAAGATGAATGAAGCACATGTTGGGAGGGCCTGCCTTCTCCCATATCAACCTCTCTTTAATAATTAAGCTTTAAGCAACCCACACAATCATTTTATTCAACCACTAAACTAACTAAATTGAATGTTAAACCTCTAATAATCTCCTTTAATAAACATTATTTAACGGTTCATACATAATAATGTCGATTTGATGCAAATATAATTTCGGTTGTAAGAATGATAATATCATATAAAGTTTTGAAACTTTTCTTATGAATGACAATGACCTATGAAAAGAATAAAATTAAAAGGAATAAAAAGACGAGATAAGAAGGTTAGAGGTATTCCAGGTATTCAAAGAACCTGGTAACTTGAAAAACCAATCAATCTATGAGTTCGATTGATTCATAAGTTCGTCTAAAATTAGTTTGAATCGTACTAAATTAGCTCAAATTTAACTCTGTTTGTATACTTATGATACAATATTTATATATTTCATTGGATATTCGTTCCTTTACAACTCTTAAAACAAAAAATCTGAATAAATGACTCGAATAATTCAAAACAACTCAATCAATGAGTTGAGTTTATTATATAATAAGGTTGAGTTGGAAAAAACCGAAGAGTTTATGGCTATAGTTACACACTAATTCACGGAAAATTGTTGAATCATATCAAAAACATATATATTGTTTCGTACTTTTTGAAAAGAAACTTTGAACGTTCGAGTTTCCTGAAAATTAATTGTACTAAAAAACTATAAGCACATGTTGATTATGATTTGAATATTTGTAGCACCTTTACTTAGCTATTAACCAATAACGTTGAGATATTGATTGAAGTAACCAATGTGTATGCACCGATACCGAAAGGTAAGTTCGTCGGCTAAAATATATATTGAATGAACAAAAGTGATACACAAATCCCTATTGGATTACAGCAAAAAGCCACACAATAAGTTGAGCCTTTCAATTGAAGCATTATCCAAACCCAAAGCTTCTCCCTCTGCAACAATATCTCAAGAGGGTGTTGCCCAATTCTTTTGGATTTCAAAGTGGTAGCTCACATCCAAGAAGCACTTCCCATCATCATCCACAAACTGGGACAAAACAAGAACAATCAAGAACAGTTTGATCAATTTTGTCCTCAGAAAACTATGCTGATTTACTGCTGTGTTTTAAAATGTACGAATGTTTTTTGTCTGGATTTTTACCTTTGTTCTTGCAGAATAAGAGCCTCTCGCAAACATTCCAGACGGTGTGACTTCTTCTTCCATTTCATACACATATGGATCCTTTTGAGGACTGAATGTTCCCAGCATTTTCTTGGTATGATCCACTGTCAAAACAAAATTCAACCCATCAAACAAAAACAGATGTAAAAAGTTCCCAACTTTTTCAACTTATATGGAAACAAACCTCTCACGCCAGTCTTCCAGACAGTGTTCGTGTACTTGAGACCAGAGACGATGTTCCCAACGACGATAAAACTGAACCGGAGTCGGTATCGGGAGCCTTCCTTGATGGCGAAGAGGCTGTTGCTCTTGGAAGTTTTGGTAAATGGCAATGGCAGCACAAGATCTGCTCGCCCTTGACATTGGATTGTTAGGCTCTGGATTTTCACTTCTGCTTCTTTGCTTTCTGCTTCACCAAAACACATCATTCATCCTTTGATCATATCTTAAGTCAACAGCGGGTAGGCTTTCTCGGGATACGTGATGTCGAGTAAACCTTTAACCCGTCTCAACCTTACTTTGACTATAAAATGTTCTTATAAATTATGATCAATATCAGATATATGGTCAGTGATTTCAATAATGATATCGTTCAGATATGTTGGTAATATCTATAAGAATTCAAGGAATCCACTTCAGAGATCCGTTCGAATAGATATGGTTGAATTAAATAGCATCAACACAAAGAAGAAATTCATGTTCACCTCCAATGGCAGAGAGATCAACACTACCCAACAACTGTTCCTTCCATTTTCTCAAGCTTTCATCATCCTAGACAAACAAAACCAAAGCTATGATGGATCAACAAAAGTATTGTTAAAAAGTCATATCAAACTCAATCTTACGAACTTACCTTATCTTTCTCGAGTTGTTCCTTGATAGAGAACCGAGGACCGAGATCGACTTCTCCCTCAGGCTTAAGTTTGTCGTCTTCGTCGTCTTCAATAATCTCTTCTCCTTCTCGATCGTTCATAGACTTACTGAGCTCTTCCTCCCCTACTTGAGGGTTGAACTTAACGTTCTTGGTTGAGAGAGAACCAACCACAGCTGACATTGTAAAATATATGAAGAAAGAAGAGAGAGTTTTAGGCCACCAGAAGTATAGATGCTTTTGGAAGCTAGGCTTGCTAAAAATAGATGTTTCCCTCTCCCTTTTATATCATAAAAGTTGTGGAAGATAGAGAAACTGTTTAGGGCAACAATATAATCATTTGTTTTGAGTATATTACCAGCAGCCAACCCTTTTTTCATACACAAAATACATGCTTTTGTATGAGTATGTTGGCTGATCATATTTTGTTCATACTTATTGCAGCTAACTATTAGTTCATTATGTGGTACCAAATCATAAGGATTTTGTATTCAACAATAAGCTACATCAATTGATGTTGATGGGCTATCTCCTTTTTACCTTTTCTTTTTTTTTTGGTGCATTGTGTTATTAAGTTGATGTTTAATACGAATTCCTTTTTTTCAAGGGTCGAGTACTGATGTGAAACCTAAGGACGATATTGGAAGGCTATGATGATATAAATCCAACCAAGTCATTCAAAACTAAAGGAAAGTTCATAACAAGTTACATTGTATGAACTCAACTATGTCTTAAGTTCTATTTAGTCCAAGTCAATCATCAAATCTACCCTTCAAACTGTCACAAATGGAACTTCCAAGAGGACTTGTCTCATTTTTATGGCACTTTTCGTGTAATTCCAATATTTAAACCTTTTATTTATATTTTTTAAGTTGCATGCTTTAGAATCATTCATCAAGTTTGACTTCATCAATCTTGCTTACAAAATTATATTGCTTACAAAATTATCTGAATCTCAAACAAAGAGGGTCTTTTTTGCTTCAAGATATTTCATGGTCAAGGTAATCCAAGTTTTATTTTTCTTTAGTTGATTTTCAAATTCGTTTTGGAATTTTTGAGGTTGATTCTTTAGGTCATGTTTGTTCGTAAAGTTTTTAGATCCAACTTTCAAGATTTTCACTGTCCATCTAAATTTTCTTCTCATTCACATCACGCTATAAATGAACAAACCTAAACTGAGATAATTGATCAAATATCATAATATACCAACCGTACGAGAAATAGGAGACAGAAAGGGAGGAATATGACAAGAAACAAAAACAATAGAGATATACAAATTCACAAAGAGGGAATAAAGATAGATGCTCGTGGGCCAAGTTAGACTCCATGAATGATCTATTTTCAACAAATAACGATGTTTGTTAAGATGAAATCTATCGGTTTCTAAGGATAATGAAACTTATAAAGGAAGAAATCAAATTGAAACTATGGTTAATTGAACTTTACCCACAATTATATTGCCTATGAAAATCAAAGACTACAAATCTTCCAAGCAGAGCGCTGTCAGACAATGACCGAGCATCCATGCTTACAAGACCTTTAACAATTAGAATAGATGAACAAAGCAGACACAATATACAACTTACTGGAAACAACTGAATTGACAGCATCTTGTTTACAGACAGCTTCATACAAAATCGAACAGAATGTTCTGTTTTGAAATCATGGGACGCGTTGCAATACTCGCTGCAATGCCCTTTTTATACCTACTTGAACGAGTGATGTTGTCAGTTGTATTTCTTGAACCTAAATTCACATACAAGGATTAGTATCTGTGCATGTCCATGTGCGTGTGAGAAGGAGAGAGAACTACCTGCCTCCCAGCACGAACAAGGAGTGAACTTCTTTTCAAATGGGAAGGCGGCTGTAGTAAAATGTGTGAGATCCCACATCAGTTGGAGAGAGGAACGAAACATTCTTTATAAGGGTGTGGAAACCTCTCCCTAGAAGAGAGGTTTTAAAACCTTGAGGGGAAGCTCGGAAGGAAAAGTCCAAAGAGGACAACATTTGCAAGCGGTGGGCATGGGCTTAGGCTTGCTTACAACGTTGTTTCACAAACCTGCGGTATAACTTTATCCAATGTTTCCAAAAGTGGATCTTCCTCAAGTTGTGTAATCGACAGTGTGATCCTGGACTTGTCCCTGCATAAAGTCAAAAAGACAGATTCAGCATGGCAACGCTGAAATGCAGCGCAATGGATAGAGTTAAAGATTAAGATGATATAATTTTACAAGTCTATTACTTTTCCTTGTTTTCAGTTTCTTAACCTTTCGCAAAAATAACAAAATCAACCGTGGCCTTAGGTTTAATTGCATAATCAGAGTACAACGGATTGTATTTCATTGAGAAAGGATCAGAAGCAATCTGATCCGTCGCAAAATGGGGCAGGGATTTATGAGAGTTTTCAGTTGTCCTAGTGACTCCTCTGACGTCCCAGTTTCTGCATTCTCACTATTTCTCCTTGTCTACCCCAAGCTTACCTCCTAACTAACTTTCCTATCTAACTGTGAGATCCCACTTTCCTATCTAACTGTGAGATCCCACATTGGTTGGTGAAAACCTCTCCCTAGCAGACTTGTTTTAAAAACCATGAGGGAAACACCAAAAGGAAAAGCCTAAAGAGGAATATCTGCTAGTGGTGGGCTTGGGCTATTACAAATGGTATCAGAACTAGACACCGGGCAGTGTGTTCATGAGGCCCATGCAAAAGAAAAGAAGGATAATCTATCCATTTAACATATTTCAACATCACTTGTCGCCTCTCCCCTCTTCTTACAAAGGTCAAGTATAATGGAAGTCTATCATAAGCATAGATGAATAGGAATTTAACCAGAAAAAAGAAGGAACAATAAAAAAGATTAAGAAAAAGAAAAGAAACAGCAGAGTAACGCACAAGATTTTCAAGTGGTTCAACATAATAATTGATCTACATCCACCGAGATATGAGCCTATATTTCATGTCTCATAAGCAATCTCAGTAGAAAATACATATATACCTTTCTCTTGTTACAGCACTAATAACAAACAGGAACAGATGTAATTACCACCACACTAATAACAAACTTCGGTTGAATATGATTGAGTTTATCATTACCACCACACCACAACACTCAGATTATCGAATTGACTATGTTTTTTTTTGAGTTTTTGAATAAAACACCATCAACTCGTATACAATGTTATGTCAGTGAACGAAAATTTCATACTGTTCTCATTTCATAAATCTGTATACATGACAGAATTCTGGAAAATACGCGGAAACTGTTTTCTAAACACATCTGGGAGTAAGATTATTAACAGAACACAGAATATTACCATCAGAGAAACGTAAATGTACGAAGGCACCATAGCCCTAAACAGAGCCAACTCTAGATTCATAACATCTCCGACATTAACTCGCTCAGAAAACCTCGAGGGATTAAGTTCCCACATAATAGAAAACACTATGATTCTTTCAGAGAGCAAGCCGACTAAAATTTTCTAAGAGAAGAACTCCAGTTTCTTCAATTCCAAGAATGAAGGGATAACCAATGTACTCACCCGAGCAAGTCGAACGGATTCCGGCGACGAGGACGAACTGTCTAGAACTCCGGCGATGTGTAAATAATATATTTGTTCATTTGGTAAATAGTATGTGTATTAGAATATTATAATATCATATAAAATCAAGAAATTAATAACTTTTACAGCTGGAAATTAATTTACAATTAAAATAATTTTGTAAGAAAACCCAAAATGGGTCCCACAAGGTGGTGGGTCCCATCTAATTTAGCTCACCAAAAATGTCGCTCCATATAAGTTATAAATAAATATGAGTTTATTTTTTTTTATTTGTCTCCGGAGGAAGGAAATTTATTGACCGATAGTGACAGGCCACGTGGGTTGTTAGCCTGTAACTGTCGTACTGGATTCCTGCCCCTTAGTGATTACGTGGCTATATCGTGAATCACTCATACATACATTCATACATACATTCATGCATGATGTGATGCGGTGGACATAGTCTTTATTCATCATCCATCCATACATGTGAATATGGGGAAAAGGCTGGAAAAGCATTCGGCTGAGGGGGACCACTTACAATTTAACTAAGCCTACACAATCCACGTCATCAATAGGAACCATTAATGGCCTTAAACCATATAAAATTGAGGCAAATTCATCCCAATTAAATTATAAATGAGTGAGAAAGTAAATTTAGACGAAAGAATCAACCCAACCGAGTCGAAAATTAGAGAAAAACCCATTGAATCAGATCGAAAATCACCGAACTATGTTGAACTAGATCAAACTAGTTGCGAATAACAATGAATTGTATTGGACCCATTTTCGATATTGCACTCTCTTCAGTCGTTCTTGCAAAACCGGAAGACAATGACCGTTTGTGGAGTTTGATGACGAGAAGAATACTTGGGTTATTGTGAGATTCTACGTCCGTTGGATTCGGGAACAAAGCATTTTTATAAGGATGTGAAAACCTTTATTTAACAAACGCATTTCAAAACAGTAAGACTAATGACGGGGCAAAGTGGACAATTCATGTTCCTCATCTCGATAATTTTTTTTTCTCGAGACAAAGTTTCTTCTCATTTATACGAAAACGGAGGCATCGAGAAAACTCTTTATACCAAATGATGTATTAGCTCTATCACAAGTGGCTTACACGACTCTTAAAGAAGAAGAAGAAATCAAAGACTAACTTTGACGGTCGAAGCCTTGGAGAGGAAAACTCGTTCTCGATCAAACTTGAATATTTCGATGGAACATTCAAATCTAAGCTAGCAGGCAACATGCTAGCCAATTAAACATATTTGGCTTGACTATCGACACTAATGACTATTAAATAGACTATACATCTAGTACATAAAAAAGTTGCTCGAGAAATACACGGTATTATTTCTTAAACAGTTGGTGTCTTCATGTTGTCATAAATTATTTTATCCACTTTCTTATGAAACTCGATAATTCGAACCATGAAGTGCCGATCTCTTTCTTGTGGTTGTCCCACGTAGCACGATGTGCTCTGTATAAAGCATATAAAAAAGTTAAAGGTAAGTCGATCAGGTACACTTTACTCATATCGAGTTCAAACGTTACAAATAGCACCCAAGCATATCTTTCTTGTGTCTCATGACATGGACACATTCATGCCCAAAAATTGTATGGTTTGAAAATGGTCTCTTTTTAACATAAAAGCACTCTGATTCTTTAGGTATAATTATTTGCCCAATGAACTCTCTCTCAACTTTTTTATCTCCCACTATTTTCCCAATAATGATTACGAAAATAACTTTCAAATAAAATTTTCGCGCTCGAGTTTAAGTTGTAAAGTCTCGTACATAGAGCTACAAGTTCTCTCAAGTCTCGTTTTTATCTGAGTACAATCTCAAATTAATACAGTAAGAGAACAAAACGAGAAACAGGTTTTTTTTAACGTCCCAATTATATTCGGATAAAATGAAAAAAATTGCTATTGGTACCCCGTTGAAAATTACACAAAAATGGTTCGAGATCGAAACCCATTTCTTTGGTCGAGACTCCCTTTTGGTTAAATATTTTTTTATTTTAATTTTAATTAAATAATGTCGTCTGAGAAACGTGGAGTGGAGACATCAAATACGCAGGCAGTGCCAGATTTTGTGGGCAATTCGGTCATTTAAATCAGAAAATGATGGATTTGGCTGAATAAAAATTAAAATAAAATAAAATAAAAGATTCTTGGAATATTATTATTATAATTGGTGTATCATAGACATGACGATTGACCCACAGCCACAAGAAAATTATGGTGCCTATGAACCTTGCTAAAGTCTTGTAACAAATCATAATTCCCAAAATGCCCCTTTTATGGATATGAGTTTTCATTTTCATTTCTTATTCATTCATTGTCTTTTGATTTTAATTTTCCATTTTCATTACTTATTAATTTTTTTAATTTATCGTTCTCGTTTTTGTTATTATTCGATAATCGATACTTATCTTACTTTATTCTTATCGTTTGGAATGAAATTGTATCATAAGGACGAGCACAAAAGAATCAGGGACTATATGGGGATGAAATATTCAACATAGAGTACAATGGGTTAAACGTTAAGTGAGTTAGACTACCAATTAAATGAAAGATGTAATAGCTCAAGTCTACCGATAGTAGGTGTTGTCTACTTTGGCCCGTTACGTATCGTCGTCAACCTTACAATTTTAAAACGTGTCTACTAGTGAGAGGTTTCTACACACCCTTACGAGAGATGTTTCGTTTCTTTTTTCAACTGATGTGGGATCTCACAATCCACCCATGGAGACCCAATGTCCTCGCTGGCACATTGCCAAGCCCAACGTAGTAGATACTGTCCACTTTGGCCTGTTATATATTGTCGTCAGCCTCATAGTTTTAAAACGCGTCTATTAGGGAGAAGTTTACACACCTCTATAAGAAAATGTTTAATTCTCTTTTCCAACCGATGTGAGATCTCACAAAAGAATAGAAGCTTTGGTCAAAGCCCAAGTCCCTAGTCGGTCTCGAACAATGACCACGTCTAGAATCCCCCTCTTCTTGTAATTCCGTTCTTCTAACCCTAATGGAAATCAACGAAACCCTAAATTTAAGGGTATATAAACACTTCTTGGAGAAGGAAAATCGAATGAAGTTCAGCTCTACCGACTAACTTAAGCATCGAAACCTATGTGGCAAGCACCAGATTCAAATATATACGTGTGTATATTATATATATATATATATATATATATATATTATAATTAATTGAGGTAACTTTAAAAAGATTAAAATATGAATATGATTTCTTAGGTTTTATTTTTTTAATTAATATACAACTTTGAATATATTTATGTTGACATGTTTTATTATTATTATTTTTTTGTCTTTTTGGGGTGTGGGGAAGCCTTTATGAAAATACTAATTTGTTTTTAAGTGTAAAAGTAAAAAGAAATAAAAAGAAATAAAACTTTTTCCAAACCACAATATATATTTTAAAGCCCATATGGGAAGGAACGACCGACATGACAAGGAAAGGAAAAAAAAAACAGAACAAAAATCTAGTTGGATCCCCACGTGTCAGTCGGCACGTGCCAGAAATGGTCTAGATTTATCCAATTTTATTCCAAAATTAGTATTGAGTTAGTTTCATCTTTAATGGATAAATATTAAATTCCTATTTATCCTTATCCATTTTATGAAAGAGTATTAAAATAATCTTTTAACTTTTATTTAACCTTTTCCATATATATATATATATATAAAATTTAAAATGCTCTGTAATTTAGATGACATATTTAGATACCGTGGCAGTAGCTCCGATGATAAAAAAAAAAAACGACAGTAAATTAAATAATATCACATTAAAAATAAATATTGCAACGCTTAAACTATTAGTAAAATTATGAATGAAAAGATAAATATTTTAATCATTAATGCGTCTATTGCAACATTTTTTTTTATATAATTTAGAGAGAAAAAAAGAGAAAAATATTTATTTTGTATTTGTATAATATGTGGATGTGGATGTACGTACACGTAGGAAGGGATCAACACCAAACACCACTTGTCGGAAGACGGGGACCCACATCCCACGTTGTCGTTCGCCGATTGATGGAATCTCCTGTCCCCACATGACTATCACGTGTCCCTACCTCTGTTTTTGTCATCATCCCACCTTCTAGGAACAGCTGTCCCTATCCACGTCATCATGTCATGTATGTATATACTATCATCCATGCTATAACCCCATACATGCATGAAATAAAAAACAGAAAAAAATAATTATAAAAAAAAAGCCGCTTTTTCTATTCACTCGCTTTATAAACGGAGACCCATTTCTCCAACTCTGCCGCGGACACGTTTTACAGAACGAGAGGCGAGTTTGAAAAACGAGAAAAAAATGGGAAGTGGTTTCTTTAGCGAATCTGAATTATGGGTTTCTTCTGTGAATGAAGTTCGAGAAGACCCAGACGAGGATTCCTCCATTGAAGAGGGTGAGGAAATCGGGTCGGATTCGGATTTGGACGAGTCGGTTCAAATGGGGATGGAAAATTTGACGAAGAAGATGAAGAAGAAGAAGAAGAAGAATCATGTTTTGCTTGAGGGGTTTGTGGAGGATGAGGATGAGTTGATGAGGACGAAGAGCTTGACGGATGAGGATCTGGATGAGCTTAAAGGGTGTGTGGATCTAGGGTTTGGTTTCAGTTACGATGAGATTCCGGAGCTCTGCAACACTCTGCCGGCGTTGGAGCTCTGTTATTCCATGAGCCAAAAGTACATGGACGAGCACCAGAAGTCGCCGGAGAGCTCGACGGCGTTGGATTCGTGTTCGTCAGTGTCGAGTCCGATTGCGAATTGGAAGATCTCCAGTCCTGGTTAGTGGCTCTTTTCTGTTGGATCTTGATTTTGGAACTGGATTTGTTTCTTTTTTTCGTGCATTTCTGTTTATCTGGATTATGTAGCTCGTTTATGATTTGAAAGCAGTTTGAATCGAGAATGAGGTGATGACTGTTGAAATTTAGGGACTAGAATGGAGTTTTTCCAATAGTTAGAACTCTAAAATAGAATGGATAAGTATGAGAATTGACAGATTTAGGGTCTGTTTAGGTTTTTGTTCTTTACTGGTGGGGT